TTTGACCATTGGTCTCTTGTTCCGCGGGAAGTTTGTGGTGTAGGAGCAGTAACTGCACCTGCTTAAAATGCCTTTTGTGAAATTCGCATAGAAGGAACTTGAGCACAACTTGGCAGCCTTTATGTATTAATTCTTCCAGGTGTGCTAAGGAAATTACAGCCGCTGCCATTCAGTTAGTGGTAGAAGAAATGGGATATAACCCTTTTTGTCCAAGAAAGTTGAAGGAACCCTTTGGCTTTTTATTCTGAAAACATCTGTGTGGATTTTGTCCTTCAAAGATTTCACAAGTAATTTCACACAGAGGCAGAGCTGATATTGCTTGTTTTACTGATATTAGCATCTCTGCATGGCAACAGCTGTTTATACAAAAAATCACATACCTTTTTGGTTTTTTGCCCAGAATTGAGAACTTGCCATAACACTGAAAGGATTTTGTGTATGAGATTTTAAGCAAATATAATTAAACTGACATTTCCTGACAGCTCATATATGAGGCTGTTTGACCACAATGGACTTTTTGTTTTTGTAAACACATTCAGAAACCAAAAATTAACACCACCAGAAACTCCTAATTCAGTAAACTGGCTAATGTTACATAGCTGTGGACTAATTCAGTAGTGCCTTAAGATACGTATTTGGGCATTTAGTTAAAGGGAGAGAAAGAATTAGAGATTACACCACCTGCTAAGAGAAAGTAAACGAGATATTTTAAAAAATATATATACATCATTCCTCTTCTCCACTGGTTATAAAGAACCAGAAATATTGTGCTAATCCATGTGAACCAGGAAATATTTCTCAGTAGGAGCCAGTCCAGTTGTCATGACTGTAACATTTTGTTGTAGAGCTTTTCCTATTATTTAACCTCACACATGGAAACAGACTTCCCAAAAACTACTCACTTTTGGAAAAATAAGACTATTTCTAAGTATTTTTAGGATCAGTGCCGATAGAACGGTTAAACCCAACAGTATTAAAAGGAAATGAAGAAATGTGGACTCAGAAAGATGATGAAAGTTGGAGCAAAGATATGAAAAGTCATCTTTGAGTAATGTAGAGAGGGGAGGGAGAGGAAAAAGTAGAGTTTGCTTGTAATATGACAACTAGCAACGGTTCTCAGCTCCTCATGCCAGATATAAGCCCCAGCACTTCTGGGGACAGAAATGATGCTTTCTTCTCCAATACAATAACTTCTAGTCAAAAGAGAGCCTTAACACATGCTCAGTGGTGCCCACAGTGTGGGTAATGGAAGAACAGGAGAGAGGAGTGTGCTCCAGAACATATCTACTCTGCAATTTAGCTATGACTAAAGCTGTAATTAGCATTAGTTCAGTAAGATTTCTATCTTGATATCATCTCTTCAAAATAAGGAATCCTTAATTAATACTCTCATCTCCTTTCCTTGTAATACTGTCGAACTCTAATGAGCAGTAGCATTTTCTGTAGGGCAGTAATGAGAAAATAATGAAGAAATAAGTAACAGATCGAGCTGACATTTTGTATCTAATTGGTGAAATATCCTCTTGTTCCTCCTAGGGCAAAGGTGAAGAAAGGTGTGAACATTTTCAGTGTAAGAGCCAGCAGCCCGTACTTATGGGACATCAGAGAAAGCATGGATTATACTGGGAAATATGCACCAGCTGTTATTGTTTGCCAGAGGAAATCTGCTGCCTCTGAAAACAGGTAGGTCATTTCCAGCAGTCTGTCTTTTAATAACTGATGGTTGTTTTTCCTTTTCAAAGCATTTTGCCATGATTTTAGTAAGTTTTATTATAGTTGATGATGAAAATGCTTTTAAAAAAGCCGTGGCTGTCTTTATTTGGTAGTGCACTGCTTATTCTACCACATGCACTTTGAAGAAAATGTATTGTAATACTCTAAGGAAGTTCAAGCTAGCAGGAGATATTGTTTTCACACAGTATTTAGAAGGACACGTTTCATATCTTAGAATTCACTTGTGACTACTCATTTCAAATTATTTGCTGCCAGGCATTATAGCAGGGGGTAATTATAGGGCTGTTTGTGGTGGGGATTTTTGGTTGGTTTTTTTTAGTTTTTGCTTGGAGTTTTTTCGATGCGTTGTTTTTGTGGGTTTGTTTGGTTTTAGTTTTGTTTGTTTGTTTTATCCAGAGGAAGCTAAAATATACTCCTGGTATCAAACCCACATTTTTGTTGGCGAGATTTTTTTTTTACTCTGGAGAAGGGAATGGATTTTCCGTTCCCATTGTGCAAAAACTTAGGTAGGACACTGACCTGTTTTAAACAGCCTTCATCTGGCAGGTGGGTCCTTTTCTAATCACAACTGATTGCTTTAATGAATACGTTTTTATATCATTTGCTGCTTCTTGTTCATTGTTTCTGAAAATGTATGTCAGGGATCTGACTGTCTGCATATGTATTATGTTTGGCATTGATGTTAAAAAACTTTCCATATAACATGGAAATTCTGTGCTGTGATTTACTTCTGAAATTCTACACAATTCTATAGGCTATGGGGATTTATTTATGGGGTTTTGACTTTTTAAATAAATACTCGCTGAGCCTAATAACTAGGAAGTTTCATGTCTTTGCAATATGACTATATGGGAAAAAAAAGGGGAAGGGAAGAATTTCCCTTCATAATCATGACGTAAATCACTTTCTCTTTATTATGAATTGGATTCTACACAATTTCTCTGCTAGAGTATCCTGAATTTTCTCAGTTTAACCATATAATGTCTTGTACCTGACTGAATTTTATTGGTCAAAGAAGCAATGTGTATATACGCCAAGGTCAGAGCTTCCTACCGTCTACCACAATCTGTCAGACAGATTCTTTAAAATCCCAGTTCAAAGCTATTTGAAGACAGTGTGAATATTTTCAGTGACTGAAATGGGCATTGGATCAAAATCAAAGATTATTTCAACGATGAGTTTTCCATCACACTTTATCTTGTTGGCTCCATACAGTGCATTTGCCTGATTTCTCTTCCTCATCAGGGAAACATAATGCAACCTCATGGGTGAATTGAAGCTTGGCAACTTATTTCTCTATTCATCATTCGGTGGCAAGCCTTCAAAATGACCCCTCGTACACAAAAAAATAAATTATTGTGTCAGCTTTGATGCAGTCGTTGTGGATTCTGTGTACTTTCACATGCTGAGTATAAGCATTGCTTCATGTTTATTAAAAGAAATGTGAGCTCATACACATACTAGATTTTATTGAAAGGAAAATCAAGTAAAGACAAGGTATATGTGTAACTCTCGTATAACTTCTGGTGTGACTTATTTCATCTGAGTTTCCAATTGAGATTTTGTAGTTTTCTCACTTTTGAAAACTTCCTCCTCATTGTTTGTAAACAAATGTAAAATATTTGCAATTTATTATTCAGTATGTTGTTTTCCTCATTAAATTTAGTCATATCTATTTTGCTATTCATTTTAAGAGGTAAGATCAAGCATTAAATGAGGAAAGAGAGTCTCTTCAACATTTTTTGGGAAACAATTTTTTCCTTATCTAGAGATGTTTGGTGCCACTAAATATGCACAATGGATTACAGCTGAATATTGATGGCTCTTATCAGATAGTTTGCCTCCGTAGTTCATTTATAAATTTGAGAAACTCTATTGCATATTGTTTAATTACTCTTAAAAATCAGAGGTCTGATCACATGAATGCAAAGGTGGCAGTATTAATTAACTGAAGATTCAATGTTTTTGTGTTTCTGATAGTTTTACATGGATCAGAGAATAGTGTTAATAAAGCTAACTTACTGTGACAGGTGTAATTTCACGGATTAAGGAGGCACTTGTGCAAGTGACAAACTTAACCAGGATGCCTGAGCATTTCTTTATTGAAGTTTGAAATATATCAGTCATTTTATTTGGAGAGGTTTTGGCACCGAAAGCTTATCGTAACGGGATTAACATATAAATATTATCACAGCCAGCAGGGTGTTTTGGAATGAATATTAACAGCAAATATTATGAGTCTGTATGAGAATAACTAATTAAGCCCATCTGTCAAATATGATTTGAAGCTCTCAGTGCCTTGCTTATTATGGGCTTGTGACAGTGTTCCAGATTAATGGTGAAGCAATTATAAAGTTCTCCCCAATTCTTCTGATTTCATTCTCAGGCAATAATAATTTTGTAACACTCTTAATCCTGACCCGTGAGATTATTAGATGGGTTTACTACTTGTAGCATCTGTACAGCACTTCTGTTCTTCTCTGAGAAGCATCCATCTTCAATCCCTCTATTGTCATGTAGACTACCAAAAAAACCCCCAAACAAATAAAGAGTGGTGTGACAGGAATTCTCCAGTGGCTGAGAAATGTGACTTGCGGAAACACAAACGCTGATTGAATCAGGGACATATATCCTAATATGTGCCATCCTTTACTTATTTCCTTTGGAAGTTGGCTGATCTTTCTTTTTCTAAGTTCCTTATGTAATGAGGTGAATAGAACAGAAAGATGAGATTAAAGGAGTACTGCATTTTTGGTATGTTTTCTTGGGATAGTGCTGTTTCTCATTGTACCTGAAATTGAGCATCTCTGCTGTGCTAGTGATGACTGAGAAGGAGGATAGCCAAAAGTGAAATATCTGGATTCCTGTCTGTTCTTCTGTCTTTCCTGTTGGGCTGGAAGCGTGCCAGGAGGGATAGGTTTGCAAAATTATTGAGGTGGCTAAAGATGCAGATTTATTGTATTTTCCTCATCTGCAAAACGGGATTGATAGCGCTTTCCTGTATCCATAGCAAGATGTTCTGATATAATACTAATGAGTGTCATGTTCCTCTTAAAATATTTTATTCACATTTAAATTTTTGGGAACAAAGGTTTGTTCACAGAATCCCAGACTGGTCAGGGTTGGAGGGGCCCTCTGGAGCTCCCCCATCCCACCCCCTGCCAGAGCAGGGGCACCTCCAGCAGTTGCACAGGACCATGGCCAGGTGGTTTCGGAATGGCTCCAGAGTGGGAGACTCCCCCACCTCTCTGGGCAGCCTGTGCCACTGCTCTGCCACCCTCACAGCAGAGAAGTTCCTCCTCATGTTAAGATGGAACTTCCTGTGTTCAAGTTTGTGCCCATTACCTCTTGTCCTGTCACTGAGCACCACTGAAAGAAGACTGTTCCCATCCCCCTGGCACCCTCCCTTTAAGGATTTATAAGCATTAATAAGATCCCCCCTCAGTCTTCTTTCTTTTTTATTCCATTGGAGAATACAGTATTGTTCTCTGTGCTTATGGCAGGAATGAGGCCATTGATCCAAGCAAGCGCAAAGTAATTATAGAGAAAGTTTGGCCATCTCTGAGTAGAACCTTATTGTCTAGATATGACTGTTTACTGCCTTATCTCTAAACGTATTTAAACTCTATCAGGGATAAACTTTGCTCAGCAATTTCCTTTTCCTATGCTTTTTGTTGGAAATGTTACAAAGATAGCATTTCTTTTGATACTTTCCCGCTTGCACTTTTGGGTTCCAGTTCTGTAGCGTTGAAGGAGTTATTGGCTTACGCTGTTTGAAACCAGATGCTGGTCCTGCTATTAGTAGAGAAACTTATTTTCATTTTGAACTACAAGTGACTGAATCAGTCTGTGATAATATTGACACAGTAAGAGACAATGACAGTATTTTCTGGGCTATATCCCTTATTTTGTTCCCATGTGTCTCAATTGTTCATTATACTGTATTTCAATGCTTAATTTTCTTAACGCTTTTATAATATAAGAAATTAAATGGATATGAGATAATAACAGGTGACAGGAAAACATATGGCTGCATTGCCTTTGGTTTTCCTATGCAATACTTTCTTTTTATTACATTTATACTATTGTCCTTAGTGCCCTATATTTCTCATTTTCAAATCTAGTTATTTAACATTTAGTTTTCTTGTTGTAACAGCAGTGAACTGTTGCCTCATTCTTTTACTTGTTGCATCTGCCAGTACGTTTGATAGACTCTCACGAGTGCTATAATACTAAAATGCTTGTGAAGCAACAAAAGCAACAAATTTGACATAAATAACAGCCTAATAGCCACAATAATTATATTATGTCTCTTGCTGGTGTTCATCAAAAGGCTTCATAAAAATAGTTTTATGTTTTAGATCACTTTTTTTTTTTTCCGTGCTCTTCATGTGCTCACATGACTTTATCAACAAGAGGTATATTATTGCTTGGAAAGAAAATTTTCTACTCAGTGGAATTGCAGAAAAGACATGAAGCAAAAATAATAAAAGTAAAAGGCTGTAGAAATCATACATGCTTTCAGATGGGATATATTCAAGTACGATATTAAAAAAGCTGGACAGGCAGAGGGGGCGAGGGTTTGGGTTAGGCTGTATGTTAGGTATTTTTATGGCAACCCAAGACATTATTTGATTATTTTTTTCTTGAAAAGAGAAAGCAATATGTGAATTCTGACCAAAAAAAGATTTCTCTTGTTCTTTTTTAATACTATTTTTATTATTGGGGGGGAAGAGGGAGGGGAGAAGCGGGATATCTTTGATGTGGTTTCAAAATTACTTTCTGAGGAAAAAAATTCAGCCCTAAAAAACTGGCTATTCACTCAGCATCATTGATGTAGATATGAAATGTTAAGATATGTATTATTGGACAGTTATAATAATTTGATTCTGAAATACCAGAGTTTAACTCCATTTCTACTTCCTAGGCATATGGGTAATGATCAGCTG